GTGGCTGGTGTATTTGCTATTGTTTTATTTTTAAAGAAACCTCACTGAATCAGATTTGGAAAAACCTGAAAATGAGTCAGTGGCAGAAGCACATTATCTGCCATCCCCTGGTTGCCGCCTGGTTGGTTGAGATTATATGGAACAAATGTCGCCTGTAGTCTCTTGTGCAGGGAGCAGGACAGTAGCTAGGACATCACAGAGGCTTCCGGCCAGGGAGACCTCAAGTTGTAGAGAGCGCAGGTCAGCCTGGCCTGTCTACCCTCTTTTGATACAGAGTTCCCGTCCTGCCTGGGCCCAGAGATGATTAGTCAGGGTAAGGAGAAGATGTAAAACTTGGTGTAGTTGGGAGGGAGTCGTGGGAGGGAATTTTGAGTCATTTAAGAATCTCTTTTTTTCCTCTTCCCCTTCTCAGTATCCTGTTGATTTTTGAGATGATCTTCCATTCCACTTCCGGAGAGCTGGGTGGGGTGGGGCAGGGCGGGGGTGGGATGGGGAGAGGTATTCTCTAGGAGAGATAAGATAGGGAGTTGTGTTCTAGAAATGGGTCTTAATTTATGAGGGTGCTCTTCCTAACTAGGAAATAGGATTGTATATTTTAAAATTAGCAAGTGAAAAGAAGTAAACAGGTAATACCAGGAAAATTGTTGATTATTGAAGACTCTAAATATGTTTTGTGAACCTAAACTATTGAAGACTTAAATTCTCCATGGCTTCTGGAAGAAATGGTTGAACTCTTTTTGGCAGAAGTGGAAAGGGTAAAATACGCTGGTATAGGTAATCGGGTGATGGCCCAATAGGCTTGTGAGTCTTCGTATTGTGTTTTAATTCCACAGCCTTATTTTATCCATTTATTGGCACAGAAGGGAGTTAACAGAATAAGCTCCAGAGGAGTGCCAATTTGCTTTAGAACATTCCATGTTAGGAGCAATAGAAACTGGGGAATTTGGCCAGCCCTTTGGGAATTGCACTGTTTGTCCAGAGGCCCTTATAGGCAGCAAATTCCATCTGCTGAAGAAGTGATAGGCCGTGGCAAAGGAACTGGCTTGAACTTGGTGGTTATTGGTTGCTAGGAGGTGCCTAGAGGGCAGAACTTACATGTTTAGGTGGAAATTAAAGAAAAGTGGATTTCAAATCAGTGTAAAGAATACCTTGACAATAGTCAAAGCTAGCAAAAAAGGGAAGCCTATTTTGTGAAGGCAGACGTTTTTGTCACAGATATTAAAGAAAGATTAGAATGATCATTTGGGAGGAATATTCGAGCGTGGGGATCAGCAAACTTTTTCTGTAAAGGGTCAGGTAGTAAATATTTACGGCTCTTAGGGTTCCATGGCCTTTGTTGCAACTGCTCAACTCTGCTGGGGGTGTGCAAATGCCACCGAAGACAACATGTTAACAAAAGAGCATGGCTGTTGTCTCAGCTCACTTGGGTGGCTGTAACAAAGTACCATGGACTGGGGGATTTCAGCAACAGAAATTGAATTGAAGCTGGGAGTCCAAGGTCAAGGTGCTGACTGATTCTGTTTGTGGTGAGGGCTGTCTTCCTGGCTTGCCCATGGCTACCCTTCTCTCTATGTCCTCACATATGGAGTAGGTGTGGGGCAGATGGGGAGAGAAAGATAGAAAGAAAGAAAGAAGGAAGGAAAGAAAGAAAGAAAGAGAGAGAGAGAGAGAAAGAAAGAAAGAAAGAAAGAAAGGAAGGAAGGAAGGAAGGAAGGAAGGAAGGAAGGAAGGAAGGAAGGAAGGAAGGAAGGAAGGAAGGAAAGAAAGGAAAGAGAAAGAAAGGAAGAGGGAGGAAGTTCTCTTCCTCTTCTTTAAGGCCACAGTCCTGTCAGATTAGGGCCCTATCCTGATGACCTTATCAAATTTAACTACCTCCCAAAAACCCTGTCTCCAGATATAATCACATTGAGGGGTTAAGGCGTCAACGTACTATTTTTTTGGAGGGTAGGGGAACATGATTCAGTGTTTCAATAAAACTTTATTTATGAAACAAAAGGTGCGTCAGATTTGGCCCAAGGACCATAGTTTGTCAGCCTGTGGTCTAGGGGAAACCAACACTCATGGTAAAGTAGACTATGTGATCTGTCAGCATACTTCTCATTCAAGTTTTATGAATCTGTGCTACTGCAGTTAAAGACTTAGCCACAGGATGTATTTGATGCATAGCATAGCTTGATATCATTAAAACAAATGGTTCCCTATGTAGTAAGACTCCTTCCCCACTATAAAAGTCCTGAGCACCTTTGAGACATGGTTTAAGGGAAATTATTTGGATAAGATTGGCATAACTCTGAGGCTAAGTGTACAGTGTCTGTTTCAGACTGTCTTGGTTCATATCCAAGCTCTTGGGCAAGCTACTTAACGTCTCTCTGCCTCAGTTTTCTCATCTATATAATGGTGATAATAGTAGAATTTACCTTATAGCTATGTTGGATGCTTAAATAAGTTAATACATGTTGAGAGCATGAAACAACGCTTGGCTCATAGTAAGTTCTTGGCAAATGTGATCTGTTATTCTTTCTTAAAATAAGGGAAGCCAGAGGAATTATGATAGGCATCTAAAGGTTATGTAACTGTCAAAGATTTAGGGATATTTTAGAAAACAAACAACTTTGGATTAGAGTGTGTGCTTCTGTTTAAAAAACAAATACAAATGCCATAAAAGGAAAACTGAGAGACTTGGTATATACTGAATAGGAGAAAAGCATCTTTTTTTTTTTTTAAGATTTTATTTATTTATTTTAGAGAGGGAATGGAGGGAGATAGAGCGATAGAGAGAAACATCAATGTGCGGTTGCTGGGGGTCATGGCCTGCAACCCAGGCATGTACCCTGACTGGGAATCGAACCTGTGACACTTTGGTTCACAGCCTGCACTCAATCCACTGAGCTACGCCAGCCAGGGCTCAAGAAAAGTGTCTTTAACTGAAAGTGTCTTGATATATTTTTCTGTGTCTTGGAAAAATGTAGAGAGTATGGGTGGGTAAACTGAAAAATTGTCTGGATCAGAAGAAACCTAATTCAGGACTCATTGACTTATGTTCCTGAGAATGAAGCAATTAATAAATAAAAATAGTCCTTAAGTCCAGGATTAGGTTTTCTTCAGTGTGCATCAAATCCATCTACACTTTTGGCTGATATAAGATGCAAGTGATGAGATGTGGAGTGATCTTCTTAGAACAGGTCTGGTGCAGTTCTACATTCAGAAGGAAGGCCAGTTATAAAGTCTTTGGTCATTGATCCACATACAAACTTGTGATGATGAAATTGGAAAGTTTTCAGTCCCCTCCTTATTTGTAGAGAAGGGTCCATAAGGTATTTGTTAGCCAATAACCTTCTCCCATCTCTTCTTCAGGAGAAAAAACAGAAGCCACTTAATAGGCACTCCCTCAATTTCTTGCCAGAGTAATAAAAACTGTGGTGCACCAGCACCCCCTTTTGTGTGCCATTAAAGAATGAGAGTGGTCACTGGCGGCTGTGACACCCTGCCCATCCAGACTTTTTGAGTATGTTACTACTGGTTTCTCCTGTGTAGCCTAAAAAAAAAAACCAAAAACAAAACCATTGGTCTGCTTTTCTACCTTGCTCTTGCCCAAAGCCTGCTTTGCCATAGTGTCTGTTTAAAAACCCAAATTCAAACACAAATCCAATCCTGGAGATATTAAACAAATTAATATTAATTTACATTGGTAAATTGAATGGATGATGGAGGAAGGGATTATATTGTACATACATAATTTTAAATGCTACTTCAAAACCCTCTCGGAACACTCTGCCCCATCCCCAAACTCACTGCCAGAGTCCCATTCTTTAGGCAGCTGTCTTATCTTTCTTTTCTCCCCATAACCTTCCTCTCCAGCCTTGCTCCCGCTTTCTTTTCTTCTCCTCCCCTCCATGTCTGGATTTCCAAGTGACACTTTCCTTCCCTTTTTGCACAGGTAGAAATTTCATTTCTCTCTGCTTCTTCCATTTGCATCCTGGTATACTACTGTGGTGGGACCCCTAGTGATTTTTTAAAAATACAAATCTGATGCTGTTATCCTTTATGATGAAAAACCATCTATGGCTCCCCGTTGATCGAGCGTGAAGTTGCCAGGCTCCTCACATGATCCAGCGTGAGCTGGACCTTGCACACCCCCTCAGTCATGCTGGTCTCCCTCACCACTTCATCATTGCCTATGTTCTTGTTGCTCACTCTTCCTCATGGCCTTTCATACTTCCTTTTGCTGGGCCTAGAGTTCTTGTTGTTTTCCTCTGAATGTAGCTAAAGTAGCCTTCTGGGCTTAGCTAAATACCTCTTATTCATAAAGGCCTTCCCTCACCATCTGAAAGTTAAGGGCTCTTTCCCGTGAATATTTTCTCAGAGTAACCATTTACTCCTTCCATCCTAATACTATTACACTTTTGTACTTGTCTATATCCCATTAGACTTAGTTCATGAGGGTAGGGCCAAGTTCATCCTGGTCAACCATTTCATTCCCATACTTAGCAAAATACACGGCACACGGAAATTTCTTGGTAAATATTTCTTGGATAGATAATCCAAAAATATACTTATATTTTTTTCATGCTTGAGTAATTGAAATACATCTGAGTTTATACCTTATTATATGGCTTAAAATCCTTAGTGTTTTTTACTTTACTTTATAAAAAGGAATAAGCATTTATCAATTTTGGAAAATTTATGCTGCCTTTTTACTTATAATTTTGTATTTGCACCCTATTTATAAAGTTTTTATGGCTTGTGATTGTAATATTTTTTAGAGCAGAGTATGGGGAAAAGGCATACTTTTAATTATTCTTCTCCAGGATAAAGGATTAAACTAAAGATTAAAAGAGAATTTCCACTGAACCTTTTATCATGGCAGCATTTGTGGAGAACTTACTAGTGTAGAAGCGGCTTTGGTCGTTTCTTCAGTGAATCCTAAGGAGTTCAGTGAAAATGGTTGGCATATTTTATATATATATATATTTTCTTTTCTTTTTCTCTTTATGCTTTAGATAACCATGCTCAGGGGTGGAATCTTGAAATAGAGTCTTCTTTTGATGTTGTCAGCTCAAAGCCAGTCTCTGGTCAAGTGATCGTAGAAATCCCTAAATTGCAAACACAGCAGACATACAGCATTGAACTTCAGCCTGGGGAAAGGATTGTTAAGCTCTTTGTGAAAATTAACAAGGTGAGTGATGATACCTCCTGAGAAGTGTGAGATGAAAAGCGATATTGTTCAAAAGAAATGGTTAGAAAGAAGAGTCTGAGTCTGAAAGAAAAATGTACTTTTTCCATTTTTGCCTTCACTTTTAGCCTCTCATATCTTTTTGTGTGTGAGTGTGAATTAAGGAATGATTTTCCCAGATCTTAAGATTTAGAAAATGGAATATATGTGTTAAATTTGGCATCCTTTTCTTTCAAGAACCAGATGTGTTATATTTTAATTTTCTGCAGTATTTGCAGTATTCTAAATCCAAAATACATTCTAAGCATTATATTTAAATACAGTGATTATTTTTGGTACTTATAAATTAGTTTGAATATTGATGTTTATTCTACACACAGAATTCTGATTCCATAATCTTTCATGAGTAGAAGCAGGCTAGATTTTACCTTTTCTTTTTCCTTTTTAAAATTTTTCTAATTGATAGTTTTGAATGGAAAAGAATGGAGCGAATCAACATTCAGCAACTGTTCAGATAAAGTAAGAACTTAAAACAGTTTCCTGTTCTGAGCTTAAAAGAAGAGTTAACCTCAAAACCCAGTTCTAAATGTTAAGCATGTAGAACAAATGTTAGCTTGAGTGATAGAAATGAGAAGAATTGTTTTTCTGAACATCCATGTTATTTTGTTTTTTCCTTTCCCTTTTGGTAAATTAATCCATGAGAAACTCCTAGCATGATGACTTTTAAATATTATCTATAGAGTGGTATAATTTGGCATACTATGGAGAAAGGGATTTATATTGTTTAAAAATCTAGAATTTCTCTGAGAAATTAATATAGTGCTCTGAGTCAGTATATTATTTTGCTATAATATGCCACAGATTACTTAGAATGACTTTTATTATTTCTCAAAAGAATATTACTGTGGAAAGTTGGTGGCCTCATGGACATGGAAGCCAGACTGGGTACAACATGACAGTTCTTTTTAAACTGAATAAAGGCTTAAACATTAAAAAATCAGCTAAGGTAAGCAAATACTTTAAAATATTTTGTGGAAAAGGTTTATTTGTTGTTAAAATAAAAATGCAGATCCTTGGCCTGAAAAAAAGAAACCAGCAAGACTCCTGTAACCTCACCACTCAGAGGTAATCACTAGTAACAGTTAGAGGCTGTTACTAAGTGTGTGTGATTGTGTGTGTGTGTGTGTGTACCAGTAAGTGCTCACTAACATCTTCAATAGGTTATGTGACTTAACTGAAATGATGTATAATCAATCCAGTTTTACAAAAGGCTGATTGATAAAAGTAAGAGTTAAGTGCTTATGGCATCTCATCAAGTGTTATAGATAGTGAAATAATGTGGAACAAAATGAAGTTACTTGAGGTCTTGCTATATTTATATTTTTATTTTTCTTCTTTTTAAATTATACGTTATTTTTTCCATCCCAATTTAGCCCCCGATACACTCTTCTACCTCCACCACTCCACTATTTTTATATTTTTTAATGGATCAGAGTTTACATATTTTTTGTTTTTTTAATATAATTTAATTATAAATTTATATAATTTAATTAAAGAAATAAAACATTTTTCAATTACACATAACAATATTGCATTAGTTTCAGGTGTACAATATTGTGAATAGACACTTAAATAACTTATAAAGTGATCACCTTGATAAATCTAGTATTATTATTTTATTTATAAATACTTTTCTACCGTGTTTTTAAATTCTACTTTATATCAAAGTAATACATATGTATAATTTTACTCCATTTTATTTTTTATTGATTATGCTATTACAGTTGTTCCAATTTTCCTCCTTTGCCCCCATCCACCCAGCACCCCCCACCAGCTCAGGTACTCCTTACACCATTGTTCATGTCCATGAGTCAGGCATTATAGGTTCTTTGGCTACTCCATTTCCTATATTTGCTCTTAACATCTCCCTGCCTGTTCTGTAGTACTCCTTAATCCCTTCACCTTTTCCCCCATTGCCACAGACCTCCCTCCCCATAGTCCACCATCACAGTGTTCTCTGTATCTATGGTGATGTTTTTGTTCTGCTTGTTTGCCTAGTTTGTTTTTTAGATTTAATTGTTGATAGTTATGTATTTATTGCTATTTTAATGTTTGTAGTTTTGATTTCCTTTTTAAATAAGCCCTCTTAGCATTTCATATAATAAGAGTGTGGTAATGATGAACTCCATTAGCTTTACCTTGTCTGGGAAGAGCTTTATCTGCCCTTTGATTCTAAATGATAGCTTTGCTGGATAGAGTAATCTTGGATGCAGGTCCTTGCTTTTCATCACTTTGAATACTTCTTGCCAGTCCCTTCTTGCCTGCAGTTTTTTTGAGAAATCAGCTGACAGTCTTATAGGAGTTCCTTGGAAGGTAACCAATTGGTTTTTTCTTGCTGCTTTTAAGATTCTCTGTCTTTAACCTTTGCCATTTTAATTATGATGTGTCTTGGAGTGGGCCTCTTTGCATCCATCTTGTTTGGGGCTCTCTGTGTTTCCTGGACTGGTATCTCTTTCTTCCACCAAATTAGGGAAGTTTTCTTTCATTTTTTCAAATAGGTTTCCCATTTCTTGCTCTTTCTCTTCTCCTTCTGGCACCTATATGATGCAAATATTGGGACATTTGAAGTTGTCCCAGAGGCCGCTTGTACTATCCTCAATTTTTTGGATTCTTTTTTCTTTCTGTTCTAATAAGATGTCTTTTTTTTTTTCTTATTTTCCAAATAATTGATTTGATTGTTGGCTTCATCTACTTCACTGTTGATTCCCTGTGAACTGTCCTTTATTTTTATTAGTGTACCTTTCATTTCTGCCTGGGTCTTTTTTATGCTTTTCAAGTGCCCACTGAGTTCCTTGAGCATCCTTATAACCAGTATTTTGAACTCTCCATCTGATAGATTTTTATCTCCATTCTGTTTAGTTATTTGTCTGGAGTTTTTTTGGTAGTTATTTGGGCCATGTTTCTTTGTTTCCTCATTATGAAGGCCTCCCTGTGTTTATTTCTATGTATTAGGTAGAGCTGCTTTGACTCCGCATCTTGGTAGTGTGGTCTAATTTAGTAGGTGTCCTATAGGGTCCACTGGCACAGCTTCCCCTCTGTCTCATGCTGTGTATTTGAGGTGTGCCCTTCATTTGGGCTGAGTACTCCCTCCTCTTGTAGATGAGCCTTGATTGCTGTCAGCAGGTCAATGGGAGGGATTTATCCAGTCCAGACAGTTGCTAGGACTGGCTAGCAACCAATCTCCTTCCGTGGCTTATGGAAGTGGTTGGGTGGTGCTCCAACATGCTCTGTAACTGTTTGCTGGGTGTGTAGGCTCTGGAGTTTCCCAGGTGGTGCAGGCCAAGGTCAGCCTCCACCTGTGTTCTGTCTAGGGCCCTTTGGTATAAGCTATAAAGTGATCTGTAGATGGCTGTTGCTCATGCAGGGCCTGGGGACACTCAGCAAGAGGTACAGGGACTGCGCTCAGCTGTTGCTTGTTTGAGTGGATTTAGGAAGGTCAAAGCCTGTGGCTAGCCCAGCCCTTCTTATGGAAAAGCTACTGTTACCAGCTTGGGTGGGTCCATAAGTCAGATGAGGTGGACCCTTAAGTAATCGTCAGGGTGGGGTTTACTGTGTGAGCCAGGTTGATGGAGGAGATTCAGATATGGTACTGCCACAGCGTGGCTCTGTGTGGGGAAGGGCTCAGACAACATACAGTGGCCTCTGTCTGTAGTTCTGCTTGGGAGGAAACTGTTCCCCAGCTCTCGCCCTGATGCCAGATACTTCAGTTCCTCCCCAGTTCCCACTGGTGCTCTTTAAGGTGCTACTCTGGTGCTGGAACCCAGAGGGAGTGAGTCTGAATAAGTCTGTTTGCGGAGCGAGGCCCTTTAACAGGAGAGGCCTGAGAATCCTGAAGTTTCTTCTGGTGACCCAACCCTTTCTCCATGTGTGTAATTTGAAAGCCCAAATATTCCTAAAAGTCTTATATAAAAAATAAGATCCCTTGCCCAGCCTTTCCTATTCCTGCTCCTCAGAAACACTACTTTTTAACTTTTACTTATTTCTCTTGCTGTTTATCTTTATTTTCCCAAATAACATGCTTCTGTGGGTGTTTTCTAATTTTTCTGTTTTTATGTTATCATTTGACTTCTAACCTAGCGGAGGGGGATATAGCTCTCTCACATGAATCCCTCTGCCCTCCCAATGTAGTCAGTGGCCATGCTTGTTAACTCAGTATTCAGTGTTTACATGATTATATTATGAAAATAGGGTTCAAAGCTGAACCTCATCACGTACTAAAATTGTATTTCCTTTTTTGTGCAGCTTTCTGTTTTCCTTAGAGTTAATAATTGCCTCATGTTCCTTTGTTTTCTATTTACTTTCCTCTACATCATATACAAACACTCTGATGTACTTGAAATATGCTTTAAATATAGTCATAGTCATTAGGTAATCTATCATACATTGTTAATTGTTATTGTTATTATTCTTTTAACTTTTATTATTTCTTGAAACTCTCCCAGGGCCATTTTCTCACTTCTCTGATCTTGTTTGTTTGCTCTCTGGGCCTTCTGTTAATACCTAACTGTTGGCCTGGAACTTTTAAAAATTTTTATTAGGAATTACCTTCATCTGTCTTCTAGGAATTTTAGGCATTTCCCTCACCTTCCTCCTGGATTAGACATGGAACCCTATTTTGTTAAACCCATGTTTCTCATTTTCCTTCTTGATGTTACACTTTTGGTGAAACACATTTTTCATTAAAATCCTGAGGATGGGCATGTGAAAAATGACATTTTGAAAACTTGTAAATATGCAAATATATAAAGCTTATCTTCACAGTTACTTGATAATTGGCCGTGTTTAGAAGTCTAGGTTGGAATTCATTTTCCTTCAGAATTTTGAAGTCTTTTATTTTCAATGTTAATATTTTTGTTTTGAAATACACTTACGTTCTAATTTCTGCTTTCTTGTATGGAACTGTTTTTGTTTGTTTCTGGAAACTTTTAGGGTTTCTTTATCTCTGATATGTAAAATTTGAAACTTTGAAAATGAGTAGATTTTTGTTGTTGTGCTAGTCATCTTGTGAGCTCTTCTGATGTAGAAACTCAATCTGGAAATTTTCTTGTATTTTTTAAAATAATTTTTCATTTATTATCTTTTTTATTTGTTTTTCTGGCACAACTATTAACCAGATATTGGACCTCCTGGACGGAGCAATACTCTTAGGTTTTTCTTTTCTATATTTCATCTTATTTTTTATTCTATCCTCTGAGAGATTTACTTGGTTTTATATTCAGTTTTTAAAACTAGGTATTTTATTTTGTCCTTTAAAATTTTTCTAAAAACTTTTAAATTTTATTTTAGAAATTATATCATATTTGTATTTTATAGTTCTATCTTCCCATTTTTCTTAGAATGTTAGTTATTATGATAAGTATTTTCTTTGCATTGTTTTTGTTGTCCACATTCCTTTATTTCTTCTCCTTGTTTTGGTCTCTGTTTCTTCATTAGAGACTTTCCTTGAATGTCTGTTTACCTTGGTGTCCATTCATGCTGAAGATTAAGGTACAGACATGCAGATGAGAAGCCTCATATGAGATTCCAAGTTTGGAATTCAGGTGGAAACCAACACTGTCATGGGGTGATGCCCACCTGTCAGTCGCTATAGATTTTGTGTGCGTGCATATGCGTGTGGTGTGCATGTGCGTATTTGTTTAGCCTTGCCAGTGAGGACATTCTCCAGTCTCTTGCTTGGAGAGTATAAGACTGGTCGTTACCATTCTGGGAGTCCAGTGAAAGCAGGCATTAAAGTTCTCACCAATGAGGATAGAATTTCCTCAGTCCGCCCCCCCACGCCCCCCATAGTTGGCTTTGTATCCTTGGCTTCTCTGATTGGGAAGGGCAAAATGATAGGCAAGCTTCAGAATCCCTTCTTCCAAACAATGTACTTGACTTGTGCTTTTAGAATAAAACATTTTGTAGGCCATTATGCATAAAACTGCCTCTCTGTGTCTCTTTAAAAAT